AATCTTTATTTTTAGGGAAATAATTAGAGAGTGAGGCCCTGGGGCTCTTTAAAGTATCGTATTTCTCCATAAGATTAACATGGGAAACAAACATTGTTATGAAACTCCAGCTTTTGTCAGAAATTAAAAGTGAGAAGAAGAACATATGTTAATTGTAAACAGTCAAAAAGTTTGCTAATTTAACAGTTTGCTACAAACATTTACTGACTTGGTTGAAATGAAATATTTACTACTTTAATTTGGGTTGGCGTAAATATTACAATGGAAAAAAGCGAGAGAGCCTGGATAATTTGATATAGGTACTAAAAAGAAAACTGAACTAACACTGTGCTGCATTTCTTAGTAATCATTGAAAGAGCCGATTTGCAAACTATGGAAACATAGGAAAGTCCACCAACAAGGAGAAGAAATAGAAATAATGTTTTTTTTAGAATTTATAATCGTTATTATGTACAACCTAATGCGGCTATGAGTAAGGCTATTTGTAGAAATCACTAAAAAACAAGATCAGTTTTTGAAAAGTGATAAGATATGTTGATTGTATCGATCTGTTATGTACATATTGAGTATTTCCATAATCTTTGAGTCGAATCTTTTAAAGTCATCAGAAAGTATGACTGTTATTCGTTCAATTGCTCGAATTCGAGCAACAGGTTCACTATTTTAATATCATAGAACCAACTTGTGTATTTGAAACAGCTGACAAAATTGTTTAATTCCTTTTAAATATGAATACCGTACTCATAAGGGACACCCCAGAGCCGGTTGAGTAGTATTTGCGCCGAGTAGTATTTGCGCCGCGTAGCACCAGCGCCGCGCCAGCTAATTAAATGAGGGTTAGCAGTTTTGACAGGTTAACAATGGCGGAACCAATCAACTGCACAAATAGGATTATTGAGGACGTAGTTCCTACCACATTTTACTTTCAGCGTAAAGTGGTTGCATGCAGTCACCTCGTGACCCATGCTAATGGTTACACATAATTGTAAATCTAATAGGCCTAACTGCAAAATTGATGCCACCAAAAATATCTGCACTTATCGTTCACTGGTTGACAACAATACACAGTACACTCCGCCGTTTCAGTATAAGGGCTACCTAAAACCAATTAATTACCAATAACTCAAAAGATAGGAAATTACGAAAAAAATAGTTTGTTTCTGTACCAGGTTTGGTAGTAATACATCGCGCTTCGTGAAGCCTGGGAGCTGAGACAGGCCTTATATCAATTTAAGTTTATCTTAAGTCTAGAAATACAAGTACATATTAAGTTTACAAAATAACTCTCTAAAACGTGTAGTGGCAATACCACAAAGATACCCCACTTTAGGCGTTTTTCTTTTTCACCATAAAAATAACATGGGGATCATTTTTTTGCCACTAATTCCAAAAATCCTGATCTTTGCCTACATATCCCTCCATATAATCCTCATATACTATATTCGAAATCAAGCTAAAAAAGCTAATTCTTTCATTTACTGACCCATTAAATGTAAAGTACAGTAGGTATAATATAGTAATATGACCTCACTTTAGGCACTTTTTCTCCATAAGAATAACATGGGTGAGTTTTTTTAGCCATTTTCTAATGACCCTGCTTTCGGCCTATACAAGCCCATGCAAATGTGCAATACTATTGGACAACTCAATAAACATTACAAATCCCCATCCATTCCCACGAATATTTTAAAAATCATCAACTTGACAGTGCGATGTTTGCACGTGAACTCGGGCGTGCTCCCGGCCTATGCTTATCGATCGCTTCTCGTACGATTTTGATTAAATTTGGCATGAATGTGTAAGGTTGATTAAGTTTACCTTGATTAAGTTTACGAACCACCAATATCGGAATGAAACCTGTTGTTATTTACCTACACATATAGGTATAATATAAATAAATTAACGATACTTACGTCTTCTGTACCATAATATTAAATTCGCAAAAAATTTATGTTTTTAGCAAATTCCCTTTAGGGAAGTAGCTATTACCGTAGGTGGCACCATAAGACCTAGGCCCGTGACCAATTTACTTTTTCATTTTGTATAGATTTATATACGTCCGTGAACCTGATTACTTGAGTAATTTTAGTTTGCTTGTTTATGGATATATTTTGATCAAACTTGGCAAATTTATTTATTTTATACTAAGCTTTCCACATTTTACTAAAACTCCACTTTAATAGTTTCCTTGTACCAGCTAACCTAGGTACTCGTTCAGACAAATGGAAATTCGCTTAGTCGGCAGGTTTGCTGCGGCAGGGGTATTGTCTGTTCAGTTTAGCTAATTGTTAACATACAATGAAATTGTGTACCTGATACCATAAGGTTTTTTGAGAAATAACTTTTCACCCGTTTTGATTAACCAATGTTTTCGATGTAAGTGTCCTTGTACATCTTATGATATAGCAGAGGGACGAATGGTAGCTAAAAGTGTCATTTTGGGCTTGCCCCCCCCCTCAAGTTATTGATTTATTTACAAGGTTAACTTTTTTAGAACCTGCAATTATGACAAACCATTTTAAAATGGGGTTTTATGTATGAACCCGTGATCCTTCACTTCGATGTATAACCTTTACATAGCAAACAAAAGACGAAACCATATGGGTCTAAACTATATAACGTTTTAATCACCAGTGATAAAAAGCCTTTTTAGTCCCTAGGGAGTACAAGTCAACTGTTGTGAACAGTTGTAAATGTCGATTGTAAGCAATTGCATGGTTCGAAATTATTTATCGATTCATTTATTCGGTTAGAGATTTCAGAAAGGTTTTATTGTAGCTTATTGTTGCATTCTTATCAATTGTGCGACATATCGATGATATAATGTACAGTAGGACAATTGCAGTAGACGAAATGATTGAAAATTGAGCCCTTCTTTGTGGATTCTACGATGTTCATTCTGCTAAATTCTACTCGAAACTGACAATGACAACACCATTGAGTGACCAAAGGTAACATAAGGGAGTGGGTTACTACGAAAGGTATGGGGATCCATTCCCCTAGCAAATCCCCTTAATACCAATATGCCGAGCTGTTTGCATTCCACATAGCACTGCAGTCTATCCTGGTGCAACTATTCTCTAAAAACTACATAGGAAAACAAAAGCCCCCCTTCCTCTTAAATTAGTAATGTGATAAGTAGAAAATGTCTACTGGTTATAATAATTATAGTTCAGGAAAAATATCTATACTAACTCAATACTGCATGTGGGGGTATACAAGTGTTTAATCATTTTTTTTATGTGCAATAGTGCACTACTAGTACAAGTTAATTAGGAGTATGGAAAACGACACTATTTACAAGCAACTCAGTCAAGTAATGTGTAAGTAATTATGACCCTCGTCACTTCTGCATCATTGAACTAATCAAACTCCGCGGCGCTGGAAGCACGATTTAATCCGCGGCGCAAATGCTACTCGGCGCAACTGCTACTACACGCCCAGAGCCACTGGGGGGAGCCCGAAGGGAGTTATGAGATAAGAATATATCTAATGTTAATCGGGAATGTAAGCTACCATGATACCAAATTTCAGTCCAATCCAACCACTAGTTAATGCGTGATTGAACTTCAAATAAACAAACATACAAACAAAGAAACAAACACACAAACTTTCACAAATTATAATATTAGTAAGATAAGATAAGATTATTTTTTTAGACTAGTCGTAGAATTGCAAATTCTAGTTGATGTTTGTTATAGATTGTTTGATTGTTTCAATTGACAAATTTACGGTTTATATGAATTGTTTTACATTGTTTTCATAGATTGTTTACATACTGTACATTAGCGAATTTCCCATATAGAGAATAAACTATTACCTTAGGTCTCATGGTATGACTTGGACCCGGGACCGATTTAATTTTTCATTCTGATGTTCTAGAAACCAAAAGCACACCATCCGTTCACATATATATATATTTATATACACACACCCCAGTATAAGCGTGTCCGTTAGCACGTTAAAATTGAGCAAAAACGATCCAATTTCGATAAAGTTTGGTAGAAACGTGGAAACCTACGTTTTCGAACGAGTTCGCGAACCAGCATGATCTAACCATGGGAACGGTGTTTTATGGGGTAAAAATTGTGTTTTTAGCGAATTTCCCTACAGGGAAGTAGTAGCTATTACCGTAGGTGGCACGGTAAGACCTAGACCCGGTCTTAAAAAACCCCCTTAAAAAACAAATAATTTAATATATTGAAGTGTTTTGTATGGTTATTAGTTACGGAGAAAATTGTAAATTAAAAATTCCCATGTTATTCTTTTGGAGAATGAGTAAACTGTTGTAATTTGCTTGTTTATGCATATATTTGGATCAAACTTGCCAAATAAATATATTTATTTTATACTAAGCTATTCATATTTTACTAAAAAAACCCACTTTATTACCCTCCCTGTAGGCAGCAAACCTAGGTACAAGTTAAATCTAATGTTATTTGAATAGATTGAATTGAAAATCAAATCAGGCAAATGGAAATGCTCTTAGTCTTCAGGTTTGCTGTGGCGGGGGTATATTGTTTTTTAGTCTGTTTTTATGGACAGTTAATTAGTAACAGGGCAATAGTTGTTTTGAAAAACAGAATTCAATAATTGTATCTGAAAAACGCTTGCTCAATAAAGTTTTATTTATTTATTTAAAATTCAAGCTTCAAATTTTACGGGATGAGAAGTCTACTTGTGTTAGAGTAGAGGATTGGTACAGTTTTGTGTAGAAGTGTTGTTACAACGTGTACTGTCTACTCTATGATCAACGGGTGAATCCAATCCATCTAATAGCGTCGACCTTGTCGCACTATAGAATGTCGACCTTCTGGGATATCACGTGCTAAACCAATGTAAGCTAAACATAGCAGCTAAACATGCTGCTTTACATAGCAGCATGTAAAGTTGTAAAAGCCCTCCTATCACAATCTACAAAAAAATGTATTTTTTGTGTGTGTTGTGTTTGTTTTGTTTGTGTTTTGGTTTTTTTGTTGACTTGTTGTTGTTGGGCCTTTCTTTGGGTTATGTCTTTCTTAGGAACTGTCAACCTATGAAAATTTGTCGGTTAATTAAGTTAACTACATTAGATCTTAGTATATCAATATTTAGCCAAGGCTAATTAATTATTTCAAAACTGACTGTAAGTTAAACTTAATTATTTCATGCTGTGAATTCAATAAACAGTTCATCGCCCTTTGGATTGTAGGCCTACCTTTAAAATTTGTATGAAAATGGGATCTTCGGATGAAGAAGTTGATTACATGTCTGATGCATTTCTTCAAAGTATATGGTAGGCTGTGGCTATATATTTTTAGAATACTGGTAGGCCTAAAGCCTTTACATGATTGAAACGTTTACAAACAAAATTAATAAGTTAGGCTACCTAGGTCTTTATTTTATTACCCTAACTTACATAGGCCTATGCCTGTTGAAAATATAGCCTATTTTGCAAGGTCTGGTGCTGGAATTGCTGAAACCTAATAAGGCCATCTCCAAGGTGTACCTTAATACCATCTCTTCGTTTTTGATCAGGTTTACTTGATTAACTTAACCCTTAGAGTGCCAGGCGAGAAATAAAAGTAACGCTCAAAAAATGCCGATGATTTTTCCCGAAGGTCGCGCTAAAAATGCCGAGCGCGATCTGGCGATTTTTAGGTTAAAATTTCGTAAAAATCGAATTTTCGATATTTCGACCAACGAAAATCGATGTATGGCATCTAGTAACTTTCGACTCAATGTTAATATATGGGTTAAAAGAATCCGAGTATCCATTCGGTTGTTATGACAACTGTTAGATCATTACGAAACGTCCGGTCAGCCGGACGTTGGCACTTTTGGCTCGTTCTAAAAACGTCTGGTCGGCCGGACGTCGGCACTTTTGGCTCGTTTTAAAAACGTCCGGTTCCCCGGACGTTGGCACTCAAAGGGTTAACTGTGTCAGTTTTCTATTGGTGTGAACCTGGCAATTACTAGTGCACGCGCCCAGTAAAATCTATTGCTGGCCGTTTTGTGAAAAATATGGCCACAAAACTTCTTAGGTACCGATAATGTCAACAGATAGAGGACACTTTAACGGACACAACAGTATTAACATTATGTACCTGGGGAGTAAGTTGGGGGGGGGTAAACTCAGTAATAAGTAGTGGGCGCGTTCGATAAAATTATTGCCGGCCGTACTGCGGAAAAATACGTCCGCGAGCAATATTAACGATGATGCCAACAGGTAGAGGACACTTCAACGGACACGACAGTATCAACATCATGTACCTAGGGAGTAAGTTAGGGGGGGGGGGGTAAAACCAGCAATAAGTAGGCCTAGTGCGCGCGCCCGATAAAATCTATTGCCGGCCGTATTGTGGAAAAATACGTCCGCGAGCAATATTAACGATGATGCCAACAGATAGAGGACACTTCAACGGGGACACGACAGTATCAACATCATGTACCGGTACCTGAAGAGTAAATTAGGGGGTGTAAAACCAGCAATAAGTAGTGCACGCGCCCGATAAAATCTATTGCCGGCCGTATTGCGGAAAAATACGTCCGCGAGCAATATTAACGATGATGCCAACAGATAGATGACACTTTAACGGACACGACAGTATCAACATGATGTACCTGGGGAGTAATTTTTTAAGGGGGGTAAAAGCAGCAATAAGTAGTGTGCGCTACTATTGCTGCTTTTACCCCCCTTTAATTACTCATGCTGCTAGACAGAAAACAACTTAAGCTTTTAGCCCCAACAATTTTAGGCCTAAATCAAAGCCATACATGGGGGTTGGTGGAGGGAGCGCAGGAGAGGAGGGCCAGCATATCGCTTTCAAGGTCACAGTGGTTGCGTAGAGCGTGGGGAAGTAGCGCCGTGGTAGCCCGAGACACAGGCCCGCTTTTATAAACGGGCAGACTGGGCATATGCCCAGAGGCGCCAGTGGTGTGGACTGCCCGTCCGCACTAGGTAAAAAGGGAGCGCTGCTTTTGGGGTTTGCCCAGGGCTCCACTGACTCCTAACGCGGCCCTGCCGAGACATCTGTCCTTTATCGCCAGACTAAGGCGGATTTATCCGTCACCAGTCTGCGAAGAGTCAACTGTTAGGACTATATATTCTAAATTGAAAAGAGAAAGTCCTGAGTATTTATATTTGTATATATTTATTTGAATGAAACCTGTTATGTTTTAGTGGGAAAGAGGATATCAGACCTGGGCTAATTAAAAGCCACGCTCAGAAGTACGCCCACAAAAGAGAAGCAAATAAAAGTGAATGTGATGAGAAAAATCGTATTCGCAATCCGTCTCTAAAGGAAAAAGAATCATCTCACAGGGAAAGTGGACTCAGCAAGCCAATCGATCCAGAAAACAAAGGCTTCAAAATGCTACAAAAACTAGGTTTTAAACCAGGAAGTGGATTGGGAAAATCAGGTTGAGTATACCTACTGTGAGCCTACTCATAAGACTTGGTAGTCCATTACAGACTTCTCTTGGCTATTAAAGCATTTTAAAATTTTTCTAATACCGGCAGATTGTTTTTGATTAACAAATTAAAGGGTTATCATATAATATTGTAGTTTACTGCCAACCCTTAGACAGATAATAGCCAAGGGCCATCCGTAGTATTAGTGTGCATTCGGGATAGGACTCATTAAGCACATTTGGGAAAAAGTACTTACCCTAGATCAAATATTTATTTATTGTATGGTATCTTTCAGTAATCAACCTTATTAAATTATGCCTACGATTTACCAACTAGCCTGTAGCCTGCAATTTCTTCAATTAATCTAAAATATATTATAAATCTAAAAAAGTAGGTTTGCAGGTAAACAAAATTGTCCTCAAAAGCCATTACTGCAAATTTACCTCCATGATCCAAGTAACAACCGCTTCATCTGGCTTGTAGAGAGAAGATATTGTACCTAGTATGGCTCAATTGTTAACTTTATGAGTTACAAAGCCCCTCAAGCTAGACCTACATGAAAGATCTGGAATGGAAGCTATCCTTGTTACAATTTTCAGGAACTGTGCCCACCCATATCAAAGGGAAACCTGTTCAACAAACCCAAACCTTGTGGAAATTTGCATATCTCTCCTCATACTGTTGTTTGATCAAGGGGTAATTTTTATATAGGTATCGTACTGACATTTGATATTGATTTTTATTGGTTTGGTCAAGTTAATGATTACTATGTTTATTTTTGGAACTCCTCAGGGGAAGGTCGTGTGGAGCCAGTTTCAGTTGAAGTCAAAGCTGACAGGCAGGGTCTTGGCAGGAAGTCTTCTTTGGAAGAGATTGCCCGGCTACGAGCTAAATACAGAGCTGAAGCTAAAGAAAAGCTCCTCAACATCAATGACTACAGATCAAGGAAAGCTGAAGAAGCTGCCGAAAGGAAAGCATCTCTTGATCTATTCAAAAGTCAGCGAGTTTGTTGGGAGTTGGATACCAAAGAAGTAAGTTTGTGTGATGGATTTAATCCCTAAAGCAAGTAGTATTAATTTATAACTTTATTACTTTCCTCTCTTTACGCTTGCTGTGAAGTAACATCCTCAGTGGCAATTGGCAAAGATGCCTCAGAAAACAACACCACAGATATCGGCAACTAGCAGCAGGTTTAATTTTGGGACTATATTCTTTGTATCATCAAAGAGTATAGTCCCAATTTGCCACCTGTTTTGTATTTATTTTATTTTATAACATTTATTCACAACGGAAAATTCCCAATACATACATGAAATTACAAAATTGTGGCATGCGATGATACAGTTAAGTAGACATAGTGTAACATTAACCAGAGTTACAGTAACAAAAACTTGGTAAATAACAATAATTTAAGTAACAATAAATTAACAGCAATAAATAAACAAGAGGAAAAATAATAACAATTTAGTGGCAGACGATTGTGAAGTTATAAGAATAGAAAGTGGTACAATATGAACAACAAAAATTGCTTCAAGTAAGACGGAGAAATTGTGGTATGTGATGAGAACAGAACAGTACAGAGCTAGAAACTAAATAACAAAGCAGCTAAGGCCCTGTACACATGAGGGCGGCAGCCGCCGTGGTTGCTATTGCACGGGAACCGTGGCGGTTGAAAGTACAAAGGAGCAAATGGGACCGTTCACATGCAACCGCCCACTTCCAGTCAACCGCAACAAACCGCGGCGGTCGTAGATTTCTCTTCGACCGCCGCAGATCCCGCGCGGTTGGAGTTACTTGAGTTGGCATGAGAGCGTACACATGAGGGCGGTAGCCGCCGCGGTTGACTTGCGATTGGTACTAGGATCACACAGTCACACGCTTCTGCGCGCTCACCCTGTGGACATCGCATGTGTGTTCGAGTAGTGGTAGTGTGAGCTAGTTTATGTAGTGCTTGTAGTTGTAGTGTACAATGGCCATGCAAGCGGCTGTTGAACCAGAAAACTTCGACACCGAATTGTTCATCGAAGAAGTGACAAAAAAGAAGATGCATGGAACATGCAAAGTGATGATTATAAAAATCGTGTTTTAAAAATGTTGGCCAAAGGCAGGTTAACTCTTCCAGCTCCATAACTGTGTAATATTACATGTCATTCATTCATCATTAACATTAATTTCTCTATTATTTTGTATATTTTCTCTCATAATGTCTGTTAATGCCCCTGATAATGTATTATCAGTTATTTAATATGTTTCTCCTTGTTAATGTGTTATTTTATCAAATTTTGTTCAATGTTATATAATATCCCATCACCCCACAGAAACATCATCTCTTTTTATGTTACAATATAATATTTATGCCAATTCTCTCCATACCTATCCTGTATTCATCAAAAACCAACAATAATCATTTACTTAGAATAATATATAATTGTAAGAAAATTGCAATATAGTAATAACATCTTAAATATAGTATTACTTTTCAAAATTATCCAAAGAAAATCAAAATTACTGTGGCAAGTGTCATTCATGTGAATTAACCAGCTGTACATCACTTCAACAATGGACATGGACTTCCTGAGCTTCTACCATTGCCTCTCCCCAGATCCTGCCAACTCTTCACAGTGTGAACATCATTCTATTGGAAATTGTGTTTAATTTAAACTAAAATTCATAATCCCAAAGTAAAACCTAAAATTTAAATTTCTCATCATCCAAAAGTATTGGACAAGTGCATTGAAGAGTACCAATTTATAAGAAGACAGACACTCTAAATTTGGTAACCATCATCCATCTTATTTAACTAAGAACAAATTTAATCTTCATTGGACATTTAACCAGCATAGCCTACTAGGCCCAATTAACTTAACTCATCAAGATATATATATTTCAAATTGAACTTTTATTCAAAATTTAATCTTCAAATTCTATTTTATTTCATTAAATTCAGTGAAACCATTTGGAATCTTTCTTTGGACATTAACATTATTATATTAATAGCATCATGAACCTAGCTTAACTTATTTCAGAACAATAACTAAATTAAATTATTTGCTTTTTAAAGAAGCCTAATATATCATTCGAACCGGCACGACCACCCCTCCCTGAGATTAAGAGGTCATCTATTTGAATATTAATTAGTACTTAAGAAGAAACCAACCCAATATAGGCCTAAGCCTAGAGAATCTTTTCATCCACTTTGGAACCCCACCATTTTGAAAATTTACCATTGTTAACTTACCCTGTAGCTAATTCAACCAATAACTCATCTTATATTTGTATTTCATTAATACATTTTATATTGTAACTTATCAAATCTATTTATTCTTAAAATAATTCATATTATAATATTAAGATAAAAACTTACCTTATGAAACAGAAATAAAACACAAATTAGGAATTATCTTTATTAAGAAAGAAATGACTTCAAGTTCAATGTGGGCTAACTTAATAGCCAAAGGAATTTTGTAGGCCTAAGTTTATGAAAGTCTATAGAAAGCTTTATAGTGTATAGCAACTGTACTAGCTGTTGTGTCCGAGAGTTTTGAGGAGCTAATAATCACACCAAAACCGCTGCGGCTGCCGCAGCCATGTGTACAGGGCCTAAAACAGGACATTTACCTATTAAGATTAGAATCTATATAATTATTACGCTACATGAAACTTTGTCGGTTGAACTCCTCCGCCATTTCTTAACCGATTTTATCCATTGACGTCTCATTGGAAAGAGCGTGTCGCGTAGATTTGCAAACTGACCTTACATTTTTGAAAAAGTCCCTTGGGCTCTGCCGCAGTGGCTGTTAAAGTTCCCATGTTATCCTTATGAAGAACATGATTGTTTACATTTTGATCAGCTGTATATTTTAATTGCTGTTATTTTTCATTTCAAAGACTTAAACTCATCGGAAATTATGATGACTTTTATTTATTTTTAAATAACTACTTTACTTCTTTGCAATTGCTCGATTTCTAGCAACGTGTTTACTAGTGTAGATTATACTACTACTTCAGTTCCGTCTATTTACTCTTTATGAGTTAATCTAGGATTTTGAAATGAGCAAATTACACGAAGCAGTTGTTGATGCTGAACAAAATTTTTCCTACAGTTATCTGACAAAGTGGGCTTCCTTGCTCTGATTATAGCACGCAAAGTAGCTAATTTATGCATTTACTTACTTTTGCCACACTCCAGTATTCCATCCAAACAACACAAAACAGTGTGCTTTTTATTAGGCACGTAATACGTGTATGCTTGTAAATAAGTTGGCAACACTTAAAGATACCACGACTACGATCAGCTGGTGCAGTGTTTCGTTTCCCATTTCGTTCAACGCTTGGATTTAACCTAACCTAAAAAGTGTTGTATAGTCTTTGAAAGACTAATTTTTTATGCGTTATAGTAACTGTAGGACAAATATCATTTGTAATAAGATACAAAGTGCCACTTCACACACTAGTTAGACAAATGCCTGTTTTTCCACCAAACCACACAAAACAGTGTGCTTAAGACACATAATACGTGCAACCCCATAATACCCTAAGAGAGATAATTTTTCTCTAAAATATTTTAATAAATTGAATTTAATTTTAATGGTGTGCCCAGCCAATTTAGCACTGCAGCTAAGAAACCTAAATGAATTCAGCTTTATAACCTTTTCAAATTTATACATTCATATTTTTGTTTGATATTTTTCAGTCAATTGAAGAGCCAGCAGAACTTTGGTTTTGGCCTGCAAATAAAGTCCCCAAAGTGCTTGAAGAAGATTTAGAAGAAGAAAAGGAAGATGAGGGTGCTGAAATTAACCAACAAACATCGTCCACCAAAGAAGACGAGACTATGGACCACAGCTCTCCGGAGGAAGATGAAGATAGTGATGTGGCTTGTGAAGATGATACCTTCTCTGTAAGCTAATTTGTATTGATGAGGAGATTGTCGGGCGACGATGAGTTGTTACTGTTACAAAATGGTTTAACCTAAGATATTTTATTTCCTATCACAATTTATAAGAAACAACATATTGAAGTGATGATAAATTTGAGTCTAACCCAGTTCATTGGGTTACTTAACCTAGAACATACAAGACAATTACTACAGTACACATAGTCATGTTTTGCAAAATATGACTGATTGTGTGTTACTGCAGTAATTGTCTTGTATGTTCTAGGTTTTGTTCCTATGAACAAAAAGACTTTTTAAAATAAATCAAGAATACAGTAGGTATAGCCAAGATTAAGTGAGTGACGGTTCAAGATTATAATATCTTTGATGATCTTGGATCTTTTGGTCATAAATGAGCCATTTATCTTGTTTTTCTAGTGATATGACGGTTTGAAAGGTTTGCTACATCCAACTTAACCCTCATACAGTATCTAATTCACACATCCTGCTTCCTGGTACAGTAATTCTTCAATTGCACTCAAAATGTGGTCCCAACATAACAGATATTGTTGGCTTGCACCCACTAACATATTATACTAGGGGCCACGAGAGTCTGCAGTTGTTGGTTGCCAATAATAAGAATAGCGCGACGTTGCAGCATCGCCCGTTCACTAATTTTCGACTCTAATTAAAATATACTAAACAATATTTTCTAATCAGCTGGTATTATTAGATTTGACAACACCCTACTGTCCTCATTGGCTCCTTCGAAGTCTTGTGGTAAATAGGTTCCTCCCTCAACTGCAGACTCTCGTCACAGAAAACATACTACTATAACCCAGAATGCCAACCGCATGGTAAAAAGCATTAAGTGTTTTGAGAGAGCTTTGCCTGTCAATTCGTAGGCAGCGCCACCAGCGTTGCTATGCTGAGTGCATGGCAACGCTGGTGGCGCTGCCTCTCAAAACACTTAATGCTTTTTAACATGCGGTTGGCATTCTGGGTTATAATAGTATGTTTTCTGTGCTCTCATGGACCATAGTAGTTATTCACGTAATTTGATATCTGTTAAATACAAGTCTTGTGATGCTCTAGGTTCAAGAGAAACTGGAGATGCTCACACTCTACCTGAGACAGACCTACTTGTACTGTGTCTGGTGCGGCCATACTTTTGAAGACGAGAGAGACTTACAGCAAGATTGTCCAGGTCCTCTTAGGGAAGACCATTAAACTAGTCAATAGTTAAGCTGTAAATATCTAGGTTTCTTTGTAAATAACTCTTAAATATTAAGTACTTATTAAAGACCATTGGAATTTAGCTAAACCAATGTTTTACCTTTCTTGAATGCCTACCTATAGTGTTTTGTACAGTGAATGAATGGGAATATTTTAATTTCTAAGATTCCTCGGTACAGACTGACTTACAGGATAACTAGTGTAAAACACAAAGTTTAAAACTAAATCTCATAACTTGCATAAAACACACATTAATCATTTTAAATCTATTTACTTATTTAATACGCAAGCAGGTTTTTTGTGACAATTACTCCTCCGAAACTACTGAACCGATTGGCATGTTTTTGGTGTCATTGGAAAGAGCGTAACGTGAAGTTGTCCAGGAAACTATCTTTTTAGGGAAATAAATAGAGAGTGAGGCCATGGGGCCCTTTAAAGTTCCGTAAATATTTCTCAATAAGATTAACATGGGAAACAAACATTGGGCGCGTTCTGGGAACATGTACCGGTGCAGATTAACCGGTGACTTATTCACCGGTACCGCCCCGGGGCAAGAGTCTTGGTATCCCAGAACGGTTACCGGTATTCACCGGTTTACGGTACACATCGGATTATAATTTACACATTAACCTATTATTTACTGTATAATATTTAAACCAAAGAAACTTGTCCTCACAGAATAAATTATTTGAAAATTATTCACTTAATACGTAATATAACCCCCTCATAGAATAAATTATTCACTCATGCAACATAACCTATAAAACTGATAAAAATTTTCATGGTGAGGTAGCCTCTGGATCACTAAATTTAAGCTAAATGGTTTAAGTTACCTGGCTTCGTCAAGTGATCCTTCTTCAGTATTACACTACTATAGTTTCGGACTTGAAAATAAGTCCATCTTCAGGTTAACCTATTGACGTTTTTGTTAACCTGAAGATGGACTTATTTTCAAGTCCGAAACTATAGTAGTGTAATACTGAAGAAGGATCACTTGACGAAGCCAGGTAACTTAAACCATTTAGCTGATAAACATTATTTGATGGATCCGCCATCTTGCCGTAGCTGCATGCTGTTGTCGTTGTCCAAGCAACTGACAACTGACCAATCAGAGGCCGCCGGTGTATTATGCACCGTACAATTTCTCCGGTGCATAAATCTTGCACCGGTGGAGGAAAAAGAGGAAATAGCTGTCTGCTAGGTTAACTCACCGGTCTCCCAGAACGACACATTTTTTGCACCGGTGCACCGGTACATGTTCCCAGAACGCGCTCATTGTTATGAAACTCCAGCTGTTGTCAGAAATTAAAAGTGAGAAGAAGAACATATGTTAATTGTAAACAGTCAATAAGTTTGCTAATTTAACAGTTTGCTACAAACATTAATTACTGACTTGGTTGAAATGAAACATTTACTATTTGAATTTGGGTTGGTGTAAATATTACAATGTAAAAAGCGAGAGAGTCTGGATAGTTTGATAATATACTAAAACAAAAACTGAAATAAAAGCCAGCGTGTAAGAAGCCGGCGAGTTGGCGAGTGTGCTTGTATTTGTTCACACGGAGCTTGTCCACTCGCCAACTCGCAGACGTGTAGAAAGACGCCGGCGAGTCGGCAAGTGCGCTTGTAGTCGTTCACACGATGCTTTTTCCACTCGCTCAGTAGCTGGCTTGAACCAAATTCTCCAACATCTTTGAGTAACAAGCGCACAAGCACAAGCAACTGTGTTCACACTGGGCTACTTTACACGCCTACTCGCGCAAAAGCTGGCGAGTTGGCGTGTAAAGTAGCGGCACCGTCAACTTTTTCCAGAGCTTTTTTACAAGCAGCTTTTGAGCGAGTACGTCGTTCACACTGAGCTATTTTACTAGCTGCGTGTAAAAAAGCCAGCGTGTAGCTTGTAAACTCGCCCCCTGTGAACAGGGCTTAAGTAATCATTGAAAGAGCCGATTTGCAAACTATGGAAACATAGGAGTCATAGAACAACACCAAGGAGAAGAAATAGAAATCTTGTTTTTTTTTTTAATTTATAATCATTATTATAGACAACCTAATGCGGCTAAGAGTAAGGCTATTTGTAGGAAACCCCATAAAACAAGATCAGCCTTTGAAAAATAATAAGATATTTACAAGAAATGTTGATTAAATCGATCTGTTATCTTGAGTATTTCCATAATCTTTGAGTCGAATCTTGAATCTTTTAAAGTCATCAGAAATTATGACTGTTATTCGTTTTAAAATAACACCTGTAATACTTAGCAATTGCTCGAATTCGAGCAACAGGTACACTAGTTTTATAAAGGGCAATTGCAGGCCTATAACTTACCGGTATATAGTTTATAAAATATACTTCAGCATGGATATAAAAAGGTGGGGCATCCAGTTACCCATTGTTGGTGTTATTATCATCATCCAGCTAGTCATTGTTGAATCGAAAGTATTCACCGTAAAGAACGATCAGAACAAATTAGAGTTTAAAATATTCAGGAAACCAATATGCCACCATTCACTCAGAATCCAATCATTCTTATTCACAAAAACTAGCTGCGTACATCAGTTTCGTCCACCGATTGCTTACAATTAAAGGAACGCATCCCCTCGATGACGTAATCTTTTGATAAATCTGGCGAATACAAGATCAATTGTATGGATTGTACTAAATATTACATCGGCCAAACGCACATTCCTTTACAAAACGGAACATCTTCTAAAAGCATCAACATTCAACAGCCCAACAAACATGATCTTTTGCCGAACATTTGATATCCCATGGCCACAATTATTATACCAACATTATAACAGCAATATGGACATTCTACATTTTTATAAAGACAGATACAAACTTAACACCTTGGAACAGTTTGAGATATATAAGTCAGTAAAATCAGGCCACCGAAATGTGCTAAATGACCAACAATTTCTTGGGGTACAGTTTCTTAACTGGGCTATGCTAATACCGATTGAAACTATCGATTCGATTAGTAAACCTTCTGCGATTTTTTCACCATCAGCAAGTTTTGTTGGTCAGGTTAGGTTATGATAGTTTAATTTGATAATAAATATATTTAAAAATATTGATTATTAATCAATATTTTCAATTCGATAGTTTCTATCGATATTAGGATAGCCCAGTTAAGAAACTGTACCCATTTCTTGTCTAATATAATGTATGACACTGCCATCAGTTTACTATGGAGAGGGGAAGTGTGATTGGACTCAAACTCTGCCAAGCTTTTCTCTTAACTGATCAGTTACAATAAATGTTTCGTATTTGTGTTTGTGTCGTATTTAAATGTTTATTTATTATTTTTATGATAACCAATATGACACTCTTTGTATGAAGAAAGAAAACCATCCTTGTACAGCCTGATGATGGTACCACAGGTGCCGAAAGCTGTGTTTACTACAACATTGGATTGCCCAATAGCAGGTATTTGAACCTTTCTAAGAGCTGAAAGCGCAAGGTCTTTTCATGAGCATGTCCTCTGTACCACTTCTCTGAGCAACCACTGAGCCAGAGAGGTACCGACACAACTCGAGGTACTGAATGAGAGAATTGAGAGCCGTTGACCAGTAAAGGGCAAGGTACTTTGTACACTTGTAGGCTATAGTACATTTAGAATTAGGTTGAATAGAGAGGATTGTGAGATTTTTAGATAGCTGAGTTGGTTGGTTCTTGTTGTTATAGGTATCAATCAACATTCAACATAACAACATTTTACAGGTTAATTGATGTTCTATCAAAGTTGGGTCCCAGGGATGCTACCTTCAGTTGTATATCTAACTATAGTGATTTCAACCCATAATCGTAGATTAGATTGACACTGACACTCTAGGGTGCATATTTTAATGCTAAGGTGAGTTAAGAACATTCCTCTTAGTTATGAGTTAAGTTTCATCTATATGTTTAAAAAGTAATAGTTCCTTAAACATATCTGTGTAAATAGTCAATTATTTGTGTAACTAGTGGGCAAAGTGGCACTTTGCTGCAAACGGATACGAGAGGAATGTTTACGGAATGATCTCGAGTGCAGCAAAGGCCTTTTGCACTCGTGTTACACATTATATTTTTCCTACAGTCGCCCGACAAAGTTGGCTTCCCTGTACTGTTTATAGTACAGAAAGCTGCTAATTGCTGCATATTTATACTTTGCCGTACGGTTTATACTTTGCCGCACATCAGGATTCCAACCAAACAACACAAAACAGCGTGGTTTTATTATGCACGTAATCCGTGTACGCTTGGAAATAGGTTGGCAACACTTAGCACAAAAAAAATAATAAACTTATATCAAAATCAATACAATTAACATAATAAGGAAACAAAACTTAACAATAATAAATTTTATATAAAACCCAAAGATAAGTTTTAGATTATTAACATCATCATTAAATTTGCAATTTAAAATTTTTAATTAATCAGTTTTTTAGTAGTGATTTCTATACACTGAAAGATAATAATTCTATGAGCAGCTGATTGACTAATTATAACTACGATTTAACCTGTCATTTCGTGTTTATAGTTTCGGTATTCCTGAACTTTCTGGACTTTTCTTTTTAACGTTTTTAAAATATTCCTACGATCTTAATAAACAAAAAAAATACCTTTTAAGCATTTTTTAAGGCGCGGAAACCACTTCAAATTACTAAAACATACGGAACTATATTCTCAAAACGCGTAGCAAATTTCTTGCCGAGGAAAAATAGCGGAGTGATACGGACCGCGGGTACTACTTTCTCTAGGGCACCATTTTTGTTGCCAGCTGAACCTAAAAAAGCTTTGTATAGTGTTTGAAAGACTAATTATTTATATGCTTTATAGTGACTGTAGGAAAAATATAATGTGTAACACGAGTGAAAAAGGCCTTTGCTGCACTCGAGATCATTCCGCACTCGCCTGCGGCTCGTGCGTAAACATTGCTCTCGTGTGCAGCAAAGTGCCACTTTCACCACTAGTTACACAAATAACTATTTCCTACAGTCACTATAAAGCATATAAATAATTAGTCTTTTAAACACTATAATATACAACACGTTTTTAGGTTCAGCTGGCAACACAAATAGGTGCTGAGGTGCTC